GCTCACTGCTGGCAAAGCGACGAGTGGCGCGATCTCAAAGCCCGGTTCGCCCAACCCCCGTTTCTGTGTGTCGCATTGCGTCGCGTGCGTTGCGTGAGCGTGAGCGTGAGCGTGTGCAGTGGTCTGACTGCTGTGATGACGTCGTCAGGTATCGGGACCAGTTGATCACGGACAACACGATCACCAAGCTCCTGGGTCCCGCCAAGGTGCGCTTCCTGAGGAGCGGCCAGTCGGTCGTGACTGACTGAAGCGATACGCGTGCCAGGACCACCTGACCAAGAAGGAGAAGCGGCGCAAGCAGAAGGAGAAGCAGCAGCGAAGGAAAGAGGAGGCCGAGCGCAAGCAAAAGGCCAAAGCGCCCAAGGTCTCTCCGCTGTTCGCCACCACTACGAACCCTGTAATGTCGCGTGTGTGTCGCGCTGTGTGCGTCGTGTTGTGTTGACTGACAGACACTATTCTTATTTTTACTATTATTTCTATTATTTCTATTTTTTTTCCTATTTTTTCTTTGCGCAGCAGACGAAGGATCGATCGGAGGAGAGGCAGCAGGAGCTCGCCAAGATCGAGGAGACGATGCGCCTGCGCGCCGAGCAACGGCGCAAGAAGGCCGAGGAGCGCAAGGAGCGCGAGCTGGCCAAGCAGGCCTCCGGCGCCGGCACCACCGCCGAGACCACCACTCTCCCTGGTTCGCCCATCCTGGTTCCCCCATTACCGTAGACTCGACGTCCTGACACGACACACGACACACGACACACGACACACGACACACGACACACGACACACGACACACGACACACAGTGACGGCGGCACCGAGAGGCGAGGAGCCGTACAATCACGTCCGGCTGATCTTCCAGGCGAACCGTATCCTGGCTGGGCGCGACCTGGTGCTCGACCTGGAGGGCGACCCGGCCGCCCAGGCCGAGCGAGACCTGCTGCTCGCGATTCGCCGGAAAAGCTTCAAGTCCGGCCCGGACGACGACGACAAGAACGAAAGCGAAGAAGAAGAAGACGAAAGCGAAGCGAGGAAGAAA